AGGAATACCTTTTCAAGAAAATATTAAATATGTCCAAAAGAACATGTCACCTGTAACATTATATTGGATGATTTTATTGTATCGAGCGATCATCATATGACTTCACATTTCACTTAGACATGACGCAAAATTATATACCCTCATACTTTTTTTTTAAAAAAAAATATTTTCAAACCTTTTTTTTTTAAAAAAAAAAAATAAAAAATAATTTTTTTTTTTTTTAAAACAAACTTTTCTTTTATTATAATTAGCAGCAGCAGTAGTACTATAATTACAAACAACAGAAGTAGTATCGGCAGTAATACCACAACCATAATCACCAACTCTAGCAAGTAGCGTCAGAAGTATCACAACATACTAGCAACAGTGGTAGTAATACCACACCATCATCACCACAACTTAACAAAGCAGCAGCGGTAGTACCAATACCATAATCACCACCCTAGCAAGCAGTGGCAGTATTACCATAACCATCATCAAGTTTTTGTTAATATCATTAGCGGATCACGTTAGTAAACAGATATCAATTAAAAATGAGAGAAAAGCTTGAGTATCTAGATCTTCAGGAATGGGATAGGAATGGTTATAGACTAAATATGAGCATAAGCGAACCCTAAGCCCACAACTGGATCTGAGCTGAATAAACAACTTATTGAATCCTATTGTATTACCTTTGAATACTGTCTAAATGATACATCAACGCTTTTATTAAAAGAGTTATTTGATGCGCAACTGCTCAAAAAATATCGATTGTAATTGTCATCCAGTTAGTTTAGTGACGGATGTTCCAGGGATTAGAAAAAGTAGATTGTTAATTGAATGTGTTAATCATATTAGAAAAAGTTTTCTGGGATTTTTAAAAGACTTGGTTGACCTCATAATAGTATCTTATAATAATGGGAATACACCTTCTAATTTAGATTTGCAATTAGGGGCAGAAAAATCTTTAAGCTTACAACTTTTGCATTCTGCATTTGTGAATCCATCAAGAAAGTATATCGAGTTTGTTGTGAATCTAAAAAGAGAAGGATTTAAGTACGACATTACTTTCAGGGAAGCAATTTCCATATTATGCAAAGGGTTAAATATTTAATCTATAGACAAATGGCTATTGGTTGTATCGATTGATGAGTTAATCAAATTATAACATCCTTTGGAAAGATAGAGACCGTAGATTTCTAACAAATATAGTCCAAATTCTTGGAAGTATTATCTGAGCACACACTGTGATAGGCCTGATGGCAAGAACGATGGTTACTAACATAAATGCTATCGATTTTAATTAATATTCATTTATATATTTATTTTTTTATCGTATTTATTTAATTAAATTTATTTTCTTGATTTATTTTTTTAATTC